AATTAGATAACAAGAGATACTCAAAACACACCAGAGTTTCACACAATAATCTTATATCAGGAATAAGAAAAATAACCCTTGTTTTAATTACAATTGAATCCTTAACCGCATTTACAATTGAGCTGCTATGTGTGGACCCAATTCAGACAATGAAACAATACTTTTTACAACAGTACATTCAGGAGGAACCTTTCCCCAAGATTTTGCTTGATTTGTCTCTTCAAGACCAGAAACTGTGCACAAGGCCTCCACTATAGCTTCATGTCACCCAATGTGCTTGTTAATTAAGTGTTGACAGATGAAAATGTGAGGCAAGATTCCAGGCCACTGGTGAGGATGTTGGTCCAGCCAGCCATGGTAGTTAGATATGTTTACTTTGTAATCCGACCCCCAAAGTGAGTTAGTTTTCTTGCAGATGTTAACAGACCCTGAACCTGAAGAAATCTAGACTTGCTTTATTTAGGGCTTTAGCACTGCAGAGAGGGTTTGGCAGTAGGGAAATTAATGTGGTTCAGGGACTGTGAGACAGACTAGTCTACTCTCTGCGCAATGTGATTCAAAAGATATTACAAATCATGGCTACTTCTGCAGTGAGCAGTGTTTGTTAGCACTCGATGTCCTATTTTATCGCTTGGTATGAAAACAGGCGAGATTGCGCCCCTATGGCTGTTGAATAACGCTATGATACCGCCCTTTTAAACCAGTCGATAAATGCTCACCAACTACGGCGTTTATGTAAGACCTGCAACATGTGCGTCACCTGTAATCTCTTTCAAATCTGTATGTGAAAATAAGGTCGCTTGATTGCGTATCTGGGTGACTATTAACCCTTAATTCGCTACATTATAACTGAGTAATTGTTGAATGTGATTACAGTGTAATATGGAACTAACGGTTAATATTTCAGGCTCTTACCTGTGGAATGTGACTCGAGCCTAACCGAGCCTGAATACTTCAGGCTTTTACCTGTGGAATGTGACTCGAGCCTAACCGAGCCTGTATATTTCAGGCTCTTACCTGTGGAATGTGACTCGAGCCTAACCGAGCCTGAATATTTCAGGCTCTTACCTGTGGAATGTGACTCGAGCCTAACCGAGCCTGAATATTTCAGGCTCTTACCTGTGGAATGTATATTGTTTGGCTTAGGAATGTAATTGTTCGGCTTAGGAATGTAATTGTTCGGCTTAGGAATGCATTGTGTGTCCTGAGCTGTGTAAAATATACCTACTCGTGTTTATTTTCGTAAGTCGAAACCGTGAGAATATTCGCTGCAGAACAGGCTGAAGTCCGTTTAACTACATATGTGCTGGTACAACCCAGACTACACACAGTTGGAATGAACAATGGCAAGACTTCTGCTGTTACTCAAGTTCTTTATGCATTAAACTCCTCGTATTTAAAAGGCATGTATCTACAACGTTATATACATACATATACGTAGATACTTCCAGTTATCCGAAGTTTGACACATGACTGATGACGCGATAAGGGATAAGCATGGACCAACTTTTATTTTGAAACATCAAACCTTGAGATAAAGTATTTTTACTGTACTATATAACCATCTGATTATAACTTAACATGTCCGTGAAGATCCGGGTGTGAATTGGTTTTCAGCAACCCATGCTTGTCGTAAGAGGCAGCGTGCTTTCCCTTTATAAATTGATCATTAGTTCGTCAAGCAGTCAGGGATTAGCGAACTTCGGGATCAAGTACGCCTGCAGAGATTATGACACTCATTCTGTTTTGAAACCCGTGAAGTCCAGGTCAGAATTGGTTTTCAGCAACCCATGCTGAGGCGACTGACGGGATTTGGGGGTCAGACTTCCTAACTTGATTGACACATGTCATCGTATCCCAAATGCGCAGGTCGATGCTCATGCTGTTGGTCACTGGATTGTCTGGTCCAGACTCGATTATTTACAGACCGCCGACATATAGCTGGAATATATACGTTCCATGAATTCTATCGCCATGGTTCACACATACGACATCTGCTAACTGCATGTTTCAATCCACTGACGTTAAATGCAGTTCCGCTGTCATGCATTTCAATACGATCACTTTATGATTTAACATGGAGCGAGTTTCTTATATACAATGTACTTTATTCACTCATGCTCAATCCATATAAGTAAAGACGGTGTCTGAAAAGACAGCTAAATGTTTTTGCGTTTTAAAGTTGTAGGCGTGGTTGTGAGAAGGTTGAATGTAGACAGTGGTGAGAGCCACCTAACATGCTGTGAGTTGTTAAACACATTGCAGTGTACACCCCCTAAAACTGGTTTTACTGTTGGTTTGTGCATTCCGACTTAGTCACCGCGTTCTCGTTTGTACAGAAATGAGAACCCGTGAAGACCCGGGTTATATCTGGTCTTCAGGAACCCATGCTTGTCGTAAGAGGCGACTGACGGGATCGGGTGGTAAGACACACTGACTTGGTTGATGCTCATGGTGTTTATCAATGGACTGTCTGGTACAAACAACATACTTTAAACGACATGATGGCATGGCTCGTTGCTTTTACTACCGACGTGCCTGTGGCTTTGACCACGAGGTCCATCCATGATACGACCCTGAACAATCCCAGGGCCTTATGGAAAATGCTGCTTTAAAACTTTTGTGGACTAGGCCCATATACAGCCTCAGAAGAATTCCAGCCAACAAACCTGATCTTTTCCTTTTTGATAAAGCCAATGACATTATTTATGTCATAGGATTTTTTGTCCCTTTTGACAGCAAAGTGATTGACATGATTCAGGAAAAGCATGGCAAGTATGCGGACCTCGCCTTTGAAATGTCTCGCTTGTATCCCAAGTACACTGTCGTCAGGCTCCCGATTGTTCTCAGTTCCTATGGTTGGGTACTCCTGATCTCTTGGCGCAGATCAGGAGTGTGCCCGGGTTCTCCACCGCCGGGGAGCAAAGCCCTTCTGACACATGCTGCAGTGTTGGGAGCCATCATATTCTCCGGAAAGTTCTTGGTTGGTCCGAGTAGGCAGCGTTTCCTTGGAGAAGTCCCATTCGCTGTCTAGGCTGCATGTAGAGGGGGCAAGAACCCTGAGCTGATGATGGGCCTTGCCAGCCTGACTGTGCCAGGATCATCCGAGCCCTCTCTGCTGCATCTTTCTTCCTAATCTGTAAAACTAATAATAAACTGCGCTTAACTCCATTCCCTAGGTGAATGCTCAAAGCGCTAACAAAAGTCCTCTGGTATGTTTAAAGTTTGTAACTGGGGGAAAGATTAGGCTGTGTTTTAAAATTGATTAAACAGGTAGGTCTTTAATGTCCATTTGAAAGTGCAGAGATTTTCAATTTTGTTTCAAAAATAGGCAGTTCATTCCACAATGTTGCTGCATTGAAGGAAAAGGATCTTTTCCCAAACCATCTAAGCTTTGGGTTTGGCACACAGAGGAGACACAGCTCATCAGATCAAAGTTGTCATGGTGGTTCATAGCGTTTTGTGAGTTTTGACAGATAGGCAGGAGCAGAATGGTGATAGCATTGATAAGCTAAGGATGGTATCATGTATTCAATCCTTGCTTAAACAGGAAGCCAGTGAAGCTGGATTAGAAATGGAGTTATGTGGAATGATTTCTTGCTCCTCATCAGAATCCTGGCTGCTGTGTTTTCAACACGTTGCAACCTCTCGAGTTGCTCGTTTGATATGTTAGCCATACTGCTGCAGTAGTCCATATAACACCAAAAAGCGCACAAGAGCATGGATTGCATTTGTGGGAGGAAGGTGTCTGATAGCCCTGATGTCTCGTAGCTGGTAGTGACAGGACCTTATCGTCTGACTGATGTTTGCTTCCAAGGAGAGTTCATCGTCAAGTCGGAAACCCTGGTTCTTGACTTTGTCTCAAAACTGAAGGTCAGACTTCCCCCGAAAATATCTGAGCTTCCTTCACTTTGGCACAATTGGTACGAGTACCCACTAGCAAAGCTTCTGTCTTGCTGTCATTCAGCTTGGTCATATTTATGTTCATCAATTGCTTAATGTCATCAATGCAGACCTCCATGTTTAGACGATTCAACTGAGAGTCATCTGCATGCAAGTGATGACCTACCTCATTGACAGCAATCAGTTGACCAAGCTCACACGTATACAGGGTGAATAGAATAGGGCCCAGAACTGACCCCTGTGGAACGCCATACTGAGAACAGTCTGATCTGATGTGTGACCCTGACAATCACAGATTGTGTTCGGTTGGACAGGTAGGATTAATTCCAGCTGAGGGCGGTTCCAATCACACCAATGTTAGTCTCCAGTGTTCTGAGGAGTCTTTCGTTGTCTATCGTGGCAAACGCTGAAGACAGGTCCAGGGATACGAGTAGTCCAACTTGTCCATTATCAACAGCAACTTGCAAATCATTGAGAACACGGAGTAGTGCAGATTCATAACTATGACCCCTTCTGTATGCAGGCTGAAATTTGTCCATAAGATCATACTGACATGGAAGTGAAGACACACGGACCTTAACAGGTCTGTAGTTTTTAATTCTGATGAATCCAAGTCAAGCTTCTAATGAAGTCATAAACTACAGACCATCAACTCACACTTTCATTAACGATTCCTGTGATAACCGGAATCAAAACGTCAATATGCATCAAAAGAATAAACAGCAGTAGTAACGTTGCTAGTAACAAAGTAGTAGTACTAGCAGTCGTTGTGGTGGTAGTGGTGCCATTGGTGGTGTTAGGTAGAAAACTGAACATATTTTCTCTGCCTGTCTTTAGAAGGACATCGTGTGTTACAGTGAGTGAGTTTAGTTTTACGCCGCTTTTAGGAATATTCCATTAATATCAAGGCGGGAAACACCAAAAATTGGGTTTACTCACGGTACCCATGTGTGGAATCGAACCTGGGTCTTCGACGTGACGAGCGAACACTCTAGACTACGCTTGTATGTCACATAACACACGTGGCTATTATACTGAACAAACATATGACGTATTTGCGTACATGATTGGTTGGTCTGGTCATGTGACAACTTGTAACTGGAGGCAGTCAGTATATACCAAAGGGACGTGGTAACACGCCGCATTGTAATTGAAGCTGGACTAGGGCACAGTTAGCACATAGCTGGTGAGTAGTGCTGATAACTTTACTGTTACAAGATGTAAATAAATATTTAACCACTTATCATATGCATTCATTTAACCTTGCACTATTTAACCATGCGATGAATTATCCTAATATTCTTAAACTATGAACATTTCCATTGAGCATAAGAGACAGCGGAGAAGTCTAGTGGTTCAATCCCTCACTCGTCACGTCTAAGACATGGTACAATGTGTGGAGCCGATTTCTGGTGTTCCCCGCCGTGATATTGCTGGAATATTGCTATAAGATAAGCGGCGTAAAACTAAACTCACTATTTAACATAATGTAAATGGAGTTACGAATTTCATACGCCAGCCATCGTGGGATGAAGTGTCACACACGTTAAGGTTAAACTGACACTAGTAAGTTGTGGTGTTGTTTTTGACTGAACTGACATATCCTCACATGTACTTATAGCTATATCAAAACTCACTTAATATGTACTCATTATACAGGTATGCAAAAGGTACTGCATTCGCATGAAACCACGCGAGAGACTTCCTTTCATGTTCATGAAACCATGACACCGCGATGTCTCTTGTAGTCGTGTTTAACTTAACAAACGATGCGGTGAAGAACTGTTAGGGCAAGGGAGATAATCGTTGACTTGAATAAGATAATATACTCTCTCAAAAAAGAAACGCATCATGAAAATAGCAATTTCATGTAGCAATGAATGAAAACGTGATTCATTTTACAAAAGGTTTTGCTCTGTCCTATGGTGTTTATGTTTTGAAACATCACAACAAAACGTGCCATCCGTAAAATACCCGTATTTAACAGCATGATTTTCAATTTCGGCGTGTAGTGTCACAGAATACACAATTCATATGCAATGCACGTGAAAGTTGGGGATCAGATAGTCTCAATGATGGGTATAAAAGGTTGATCACTGCCTGTCGATTATTCATGGTATTTGGAATATTGTTGACGAACGCAAAATGCCACGTCTAAGTGAAGCCAACCGTCATATCGCCATTGGTTTGCTTGAAGCTGGCCAGTCTCAACGTGCAGTTGCCGGATGCTTGAATGTTCACCAAAGCACCATTTCACGGCTCTGGGAGCGATATCGCCGGCAGAATTCGGTAGCAGATGCCCCCTCGTAGTGGGCGACCTTTAGCGACAACTGCGGCGCAGGATCGCTACATCCGGGTACATCACCTGCGTCATCGAACAGCTACGGCGACCAGTACCGCTCGACATATACCCGGATTGAGGAGGCTTTCTGCACAGACCGTCGGGAACAGGTTGAGAGAGGCTGTTATACGTGCCAGAAGACCTTATTTTGGCCCTGTGCTTCGACAACAACATCGTCGACATCGAGTTCAATGGTACACTAACGTGCAGGCCTGGAACCTGCCGAATTGGTGTAGAATCTGGTTCAGTGATGAATCACGATTTCTATTGGAACGACGCGATAGAAGAATGCGGGTGTACAGACGTCGACGTGAACGTTTCGCCGACGCTTGCGTTCCCCAGGTGGACAGATTCGGCCGGGACAGTGTTATGATGTGGGGAGAGATCTCCTGCCGTAGGAGAAGTGATCTGGTGATGATCCAGGGCAACCTGACAGCTCAACGGTACTGTGACGAAATCCTACGCCCACACCTCCTTCCAATCATTTATCGCCAGAGGGAGCTGTTTCAACAGGACAATGCCAGGCCCCACACAGCACGTCACACTAGAGACTTCCTCCAGAACCACAACATCAATGTGCTCCCCTGGCCCTCAGGATCACCGGACTTAAACCCGATCGAACATCTGTGGGATGCCCTGGATAGACGGGTGCGACGCCGTAACCCTCAGCCCCAGACACTTCAGCAACACGCACAGGCACTACAGGCAGAGTGGGCTGCGATCGGGCAACACGAGATTCTGAAACTTATTCGTTCGATGCCGAGGCGATGCCGTGCAGTTCTGGATGCCCACGGTGGTCACACGAGGTATTGACTTCAGCGCCACCACACGTCTCCATGTGACACTCAAAGTGACTTTCCTCGAGTTGGTGCCACAGACGGAGAAGTCTGCATTCCCAGTGTGCAATTTCGATATATTTCATTGACTCATAAAGCCTACAAGATGTTTCAAAATAAACATAAAAATACAGTTGAAATTCCTATATGCGTTTCTTTTTTGGGAGAGTATGTGTACAGTATCACAAAGACAGTACGGGATATGGGCCTAAACGTTATGTAAAGGCAATAACGCCTAATACTGTATGTATGCACATTGTGGCCATGGCAAGGTGTGTTTTTTGTGTGTTTTGGGGTTTTTTCGGGTGTGTGTGTGGTTTTTTTTAAATAGTATTTGGAAGAATATATATTATCACTGGAAGGGCGGTAGGGGTAGCCTAGTGATTAAGGCGTTTACTCGTCACACAGATGACCTGGGTTCGCCTCCCCACATGGATACAATGTCTGAAGCCCATTTCTGGTGTCCCCGCCATTATATTGTTGGAATGTTGCTAACAGCGGCGTAAAACCATACTCATTCACTCACTCACTCACTCACTCACTCATTTCTCTGGTTAGTTCTATGTATCATTCTGTCAGTAATATTTACTGAGAAGGAAGGGTTGATGTGTCTAGAATAAGTCCATATAAACAGTTATCGCTCTGCTTTTTACACATAGGCAAAGTCTACTATTTGATAACTGAACAATGATAAACACAGTTGTGTTTATACCATTTTCTTATCCTTTCAGATTGTTCAGATGGCAACACCCTTCACAATGGCCAATAAAGGTATGTTCCTATCCAGTCGTTTGCTTAAGTTATACACTATTGCTGCATTGAAACTAAACTACCGGGCAAAAGAAAGTTATCCCGACTTCACTTTACTTTTACTTTTACTACAATTCTTTTACAAATAGGAATCATTTCCCAATAAATTAACTGAAAACGTATTGTAATGCCGGTCTTGCATTTGCCACAATTCATTTGGAACGAGTCAAGGGGTCAAAATTAAATATTAATATGCAAATCTGAGTCTAATCAAAAAGTGAATAAAGAGTCACATAATGAGACAGGAGTCAGGGACACCACTCCGAGCACGTCTCCTTTATTGACGTCGTCAGTCGGCGGATGACGTCAGCAGGATTCCTGTTCCATAGGTTCGTGTTGTGAGGCCTTGCGTGGTCATGCTGCAAAATGACTCCTCTTGACTCTTGGTTCGCATAAAGGGCATTAAAAGGAAGTATCAACACTTCATCCCGCTGGGCAATGTCCTTAGATGATAAGCAGTCTTATTATTCTCTGGCCACAAAATGCGCCCATGACGCTTCCACCATCGAATGGATGAACTTTTTGGCGCCAGTCGCTATCCTGTAGAACTCGAACTCTGCCATTGTACCGAACCAGCTGTGAAGAGTACTTTCGCCAAGTCACGTCGCTGCCACCGACCTACAGTTCGTGCCCATTGCAGTCTGCGTTGACAGTGTAGATGGGTCAGGGGCCTTCCACAGAAGGGTCTGTAGGCTCGTATACCATCCACACCATGACGTCATAGGACTGTTCACCTACTGAGAGCGTGTCCTCGTGCAATCTAAGTAACAAATCTGTTCCGGAGGTTACCGGTCTTCGACTGGTGTCGTGACTCTTGGTCTTCCCTATCTTAGGTGGTCCTAGGTATGGTCTGTTTGCTGGCAGCAGTTTATCAATTTGCTGATGATGGTCTGGATACTGTTCTTGCCAGCTGACGTTGTGAATCCCCGATATTGGCCATACCGATCGCCCTGTCTCGTTGTGCTTGTGCAAAGTTTGGAATATTCGTGGTGGTGTTTTGATTACTGCATGCTTGCTCTGTCCAACATCGATTCGTTCGAAGTTTTTGGACAGTTTCGCTGTTACTGGGACCATGTTACATTTTGGTGAACGTTTCCTGCTTGGGTTCAAACCTGTTTTCGTTTTATGTACAATTACTTTTACAGTGATAACTTTCTTTTACCCGGTTTACATTACTGTGGTATCGTTTGAGGCAGGCCATACTTTCCCATTTACATTGATCATTAGTTCGTCAAGCAGGCATGGATTAGCGAGCTTCGACATCAAGTACTACTGTTGAGATCAGGACCCTCATACTGTTTTGAAACCCATGAAGATCCGGGCCAGAGTTCGTCTTGAGCAACCAATGCTTGTCGTATGATGTGACTAACGGCATCCATTGCCCAGGCCCGCTGACTTGGTTGACACATTTTATTGCATCGATGTTCATGCTGTTGATTACTTACTGCCTGCCGCCATATGGCTGGAATATTGCTGAGTGCGGCGTTAAACAACAAACCAACCATACTGAACAAGAAACAGACACACTGATACAAATATTTTGCAATAGGTTCTCTTTTTTGCAATGACACACACACGTTCACAATGAATGATCTGGCAATAAAAGTCTGAAATAGGTCCACTATAATGAGTGCCTTGAAAATAACGCTTAGAAATAGTTTCTATCAAGAAGTTCAATTTGCAGTCAACTGATGTAATTAATGTTCTGTTAAGTAGAGTGTGTTAGGTTCGCTATTCTCCTTCACAGGAAAAGGTTCCGGTTTTCTGGAGAGGGAAATTCGAATGGTACTTGTTGGAAAGACTGGAGTAGGTAAAAGTGCCACAGGAAATACAATATGTGGAGAACAGATATTCAAAGCATCAGCGAGGGCAAAGTCTGTTACAGAGATATGTAAACAGCATTCCTTCAACCGTTTTGGGTACGACTTGCAACTTGTTGATGTCCCGGGCTTTTATGACACAAACAGATCACATGAAGACATCAAGCAAGAGATCATGAAATGTGTGGGTATGTCATCTCCTGGAATACACGCCATTCTTTTCATTTTGAGAATAGGAAGATTCACCGAAGAAGACAAAAATACACTTGAAACGTTCCTGCAGTGGTTTGGACAAGAAGCTAAAAGATTCGTCATTGTTGTATTTACTGGGAAGGATGACTTGGAAAGGGACGGTGAAACCTTTGAAAACTTTCTTGGAGATATTCAAACGACACTGAAGGAGTTTCTGAATAATTCAAATTTTCGTTGTATTGCTGTCAACAACAGAGGGACGAATGAAGAAAAGGAGGAATTTAGCAAAGAATTGATAGACAAGGTAAGATGCATGGTTGACGGAAATGGAGGCGAATGCTACACAAATGAGATGTACCAGAGATGTGAAGCTGATATTCGGGAAGCTGTGAAGAATGAAAAACTTGAAGAAAAGAGGCAGATGCTACTCGAGGAGAAACTGAAAAAAGAAGCCGCTGCCATGGAAGAAGAGTTAAAAAGACAGCATAGTCAAATGCAAGAAAAGGTGATACAATTTGAAAAAGAACGTAAAGAAAGGGACGAAGTAGATCGGTTGAGAAGACAACTAAAAGCCGTAGAACTGAGAGAAAAGGAAGAAGAGAAGAGACGTCTGGATGAAGAAAAGAAACGACAGGCAGAGCATGATGAAGCGTTGGAAAACATGGAAAGAAAGCTTCAGAAACAGATGCATATTGAGCAGAAACAGATGGAAGAAGAATTTGAACGTAGGAATGAAGAGCTGCAACTTGAACAGGCTCGTAAACAGATACGAGAAAAGATTGAAGGTGGTGACACTAGTATCTTGAAGCGTTTTTGGAGATGGCTGAAGGAGACATTTTTCTCGTGGATTACCTAAACAACAAGCAAAGGTTAAATCATAGAATATAGTATCATTGTTTGTTCGTGTTTCAAACATAAAATTTTCATCACTGTTTACTTTGCCTTTTAACCACCACCTGAATCCGTGAGGCAGATAATTACGTCTGATGTTCGTCTAAAGATTTCAAAGTGCGTCATATTTTTTTGACAAGATGACAACTGTAAAGTCAAGAACATATCGACATATTGTCCAACCTGAACACATGTTCTTATTTGTTTTCTTGTTGTTTATCATTACAGTCTGCAATATCACCCGTAGATATTCGAGTCAGATTTGGTCGTCAGCAATCCATGCTTGTCGTAAAAGGAAAGTAATGGAACCGGGTGGTCAGGCTCGCTCGCTGACTTAGTTGACACATGTCATCGGTTCCCACATGAGTAACCGGTGAAAGTCCGAGTTCGAATGTACCTTCAGCAACCCATTCTTGTCGTAAGAGGCGACTAACGGGGTCGGGTTGTAAAGGTCGCTGACTTGGTTGACAAATGTCATCGGTTCCCAATTGCGCAGATCGATGCTCATGCTGTTGATCACTGGATTGTCTGGTCCAGACTCGATTATTTATAGACCACCGCCATATAGCTGGAATATTGCTGAGTGCGGTGTAATACTAAACTCACTCACTCACTCACCAAATGAGTAGATTGGTACTCATAATGCTGATCATGGGATTGTCTGGTCCAGATTCGATTATTTACAGACCGTCGTAATATTGCTGAGTACAGCGTTAAACAGCAAACTAACACCAACCTCTGGGGCGTGGTGGGCGAACTGGCTAAGGTGCCAGGATAGTGATCCAGCGAGCATGAGGTGTCGGATCGAGCCCACCTGTGACAGGGTGTAAAAGTCTTGGAGTCAACTTTGTGTGCAGACTCTTTCAGTGTTGTCACAACCCCTAGTGTACAACGCACAACCCTGTGCACTCAAAAGCACCCACGAATCCGTTGGTATATGACCAGATGGTGGCCACATGACTGCAAAAGAAAAGTTGCGGGTACAGCAACGTGCAGAAAAACGTGGACAAAGCACTGTGACTATGTCCCAGTCCACCCAGCTATGAATGGGTACCTCGTAAGGATTGGAAAGCTGCACTAACTCGGTGCGCCTTTTGGCAGCAAGAGTTGTATACTCTCCAGGGAGCTGAGACTGATAATAAGATGTGCCGTTGAGATTGGCATCCAATGATCGAGGGAAAAAATACCAGCGCCATGAGCATGCACTAGTGCGTGGATATGTGCGCTATATAAATATCCAATAATAATAAATAACAGTTGCAAATCCGCGCGCAAAAGACGCGTGTTATCGGGACCCGCACGTAAAATCTCCAAACTGTTATCATCAGGTCACAAGCACTCCACAACAAAACGGAATCACATGATAACTCCGTGCCCAGGGTTCCCTCTTCTTTGAATGTAAACTGTCCACATTTTAATTATTTGTAGTATGTGAATGTGTTTCACTTACTTGGTGTTTTATGGGTGTATTTGTATTAGTTCACATTGTTGAAGTCACGTTGCATGAATCAGTGTTAGCCTTTATCGTAATAATGTAATAAAAGGCACAATGTCAAACATTTTCGACAATATTTTGGCCCATATTAATTGGGGCACATGTACTCACTTTAGCTTCCTATTCATGCAACAAAAGATGTATTATCCCTTACGACTTGCCTGAAAACGATAATTGAAATTTCGAAGCAAACAGCTTCCAAACAGAGAACACTTTCCATATATGGAATGTAAACAACTGTCGCACGCAGTGTTGTCGGTGTTAGTCGAACTGGTTTCAATCACATGTCATTCATAAAGAGCACTTCAAGGAACATAACCCTTGAAATCATGTTCCGCCGGTAGAGGGCTCGAGTGTCCATAAATTCTATATGGTAGCTTCCATGAAGGGTGATACTATTATGGAGAGGTATGCATTATATATTTTTAGGGAAGTATGGTGACAGTGTGCCTTTAACCCAAGTAATCATAGCGTTATTTGTATTTATGAAAGACTTCATAATTTGAAAATAACCGACTATACTGTGAATTAGAGGAATCTTTGTTGATACTGTGTAATGTTCATACTGATTTATCTCTTCTTGTTACTAGGGACGAAACATTCTAACACTGATTATCTCCCTTGTGTACAGGTGTATAATCATATTTTTGTATATTTTGTTTAATTGGTTTTTGGTTGTTGTGTTTTATTATTTAGTTGTGTTTTGTGTGATAAACACGGATAATTATATATGCTAAAAGCTACAGTAGGTGTGGACTTTAAATTGTCCGACTAAAGTTGTACATGCTCTTTGTATAGATAACATTCTTCGCCATTGTTTTTGTTTTGTTTTTTTGTACTTTGCATTTTCATTTTTGCTCCATCAATAAACAGAATTTCGTTAAAACACGGACTTCACACGGTGTTCAGGGATTCATTACAAGGTTCCTCACGTAAACAAACGTCTGGTACTAAGCGAGTCCTGTACTTGGTACTGTAAGGAGGTGTCTGATATTTACCGTTACAAATTGATGAAAAATAGCAATGTCAAGATTCTATACTCATGCCAATAATGGTTGTCACCCCCGTCAATTTGTTTAATTAGAGGGGTGTGGGTGGGGTGGGGGGGGTGACAACCATTATTGGCATGAGTATATAATAACAAGAGGTGAAGTAAAATGGAGGTTCACGTAGCGTCCAAGATTGCTACAACTTCCATTCAAATACTAATGTCTGTTGAATTGTGTGTTTGACTGACTGACTGAGTTTAGTTTTACGCCGCTTTTAGCAATATTCCAGCAATATCACGGCGGGGGACACCAGAAAAATTGTGTGTTTGAGTGTGAGTGAGTGTATGTGTGTGTTTGTATATCTGTGTGTGCTTTTATATTTGTGTGTGAGAGTTGTGAGTCTTTGTGTGTTTACATAATATATGTGTGGACATGTGGCTTGGCTGTTTGTGTGTGTTTGTGTGTGAGAGAGAGAGAGAGTGTGTGTGAATTGTGTTTTTGCGCCCGTATGTGTGTGCGTGTGTGCGTGCGTGCGTATGTACGTGTGTGCGTGTGTGACTGACTGCGTATACTCGTCCGGACTGATGTTGGTATTGTGGTGCTAGCTTCAGACAGACACAGCATACTAGCATACTACAATTTGTAAATCCCGAGCGCCACCCTGAGAGGGAGGGCAACGACTTCTGGTTTGAAGCAGCCTTGGGATCGAACCTCCGACCTTCTTCTCTACAGGCAGGCACTCTATCCACCGGACTAGGGAATAACATGTGACCATGTTTTGTCTTCCCCCACCCCCCCCCTTTTCTGTCTTGGAAAAATATTTGATGATAGCTTGTTTTCTGGAAGTAACACGGTATAAAGATAGAATAAGAGCGTACAGTCATTCCTGAATGTGTGATTTGTTTAGGTCACAAAAGATGTCACTTCAGGTTAGTACCAGACAAATGTGCATTTTCGTTTAGAAATGATCCATCCTTTTCAACTTGGTATGTACAATTAACAATTACGTTATATTACAAATAGTTTCGAATGGGAAAGTCCCATTACAGTGATTTTATTAAAGTACTGTCGGAAATGCTAGAAAAATGCTTTTTGACTTATATTTAAAATTCTGAGGTATTACAGTTACTTAAATAACAAATATCACCTTATAATACCTAATGTAGACCGAGGGAATAAATTTTGAGACATGCCCTAAAATGCGTTTTTACTGATGAAAATACCAAAAACTTAGAAAAATAAGAGGTAGTGGGACGTTATTTGATACAAACAATAACTGCCTGTGTTACGTCATCAGCATGCACGGTATCGACAGGTGAAATTGACACCCGAGCAAACGCTCGGGCGAGGGGTCATCTCAATAGATGTTTTCTTCAAAATGTTGAATATGTGTACGTATAGTATACGTATTGGTTATGTAAGGGATCATTTGTGTATGTGTGTTTGTTGTGAAATTAACATACGAATTACTGTACATTGGAAAGAATCCTGTCACTTGTGTTATCTTATCGATTGATTGTAAAACTGTGCAACGTTGTAATAAATGTTTTGCATGTCAACGGTATATTTCATTGCAAAAATATGGATGTAATTCGGTCAGTTTAATCTAGTTGTGAACATTGGCCAAAGCTTTAACGAAGTCACTGGTGTAGCTTCTTTAGAACTTTAGAATATATATATTATTATTCTCCTAAAGTTTGTAGACCGCCCGTCTAAGTACTCAAGGATGGTTTTACGTCCCGGTTTTTGCTTTTGAGACGGTCCCTGTCTTGTCTGATTTGGTTACAATATTGTAAACTTGTTGGTAAGACATACCAAAAGCTCTACAAGTTCTGTATTAAACCATTTCTATACTAATGAAAGGCTTACCTCTGTCTTTTTCAAGCACAAAAAAACTTATAAACCTTTGCAACAATCGTCTGCAAATAGTTGGCCATAGTGGACGCTGTGATAAAGATGTGCATGCATGACGGGAAACTTATTTATCAAGACTTAACATTTATATTAATATTTCTTCAATAAGAAACGATAATTAAGTAAAGTAACACAAACATTCAACATTTATTTGTTTAAGAAAAACGTTAATTTATATATTTACACCACCTTTATTATTAGCATAGATGTAAAGACTATTTCAGAATTCTGTTGTTGAACTCTTAAGTTGTTGTTTTGATACCAAATGCTCTTCCGTAAACTGCCCTTTAAATGCATGGGAATGTTAAATCAATTGAAATAAAAATTAGGTACACTATAGGTGAGTTGACATATTGACAACATAATACATTTATCACCTTTCTGAAGATATTAAGGCTAAAAACTATTTTTCTAGCATTTCCGACGGTACTTTAATCTTTCTTTTAAGAAAAATCGGTCTGAATTTCTATAATACCTATTTTGATTCATACCACGGTTTTTTTTACTAGGAATAACTATAGATGCCTATTTTATAAGTATGACAATTGGGTATCATTTCTTTGAATG